CTTAAACAAACTAAAATAACTGACAATACGCTTGCCTGGTTTAAATCGTATTATCTGACCGGTTCCAGCGTGTCTCTGTGAATGGTAGTCTCTCAGATCAGTTTCCTTTAAAACAAGGTGTTCCTCAAGGATCATGTTTGGGCCCCTTGCTTTTCACTATCTACACGCGCAAACTGTTTCACATCGTTGAACGCCACCTCCCACAAGTTCACTGCTACGCGGACGATACACAGCTGTATGTATCATTCAGCCCCAATCGATCTGCGAATGCTGATTTTGCCATCAAGTCCATGACTGACTGTATCAGTGACATTAGGAGTTGGATGATTCCAGATTTAAGCAATAGAAAACGTTTTCCGTGTTTGCATAGCCTGATATAAACACGAGAGGAGTTGAATTGACTCACCTTCTTTGTAACGATTTTCCATGTTTCAGCCGACGAAGGAATGGGTAAATAAAGTAACCTTGTCGAGTTTTGAACTCGAACACTTTTTCAAATTCGTGCTTGCGTGATTAGCGCGCAAAAAGCCAAACAACTTGACGCCACAACCATGTTTACATACTCTCATGCAAACATTCCTCTCGGCCAATCAGAGCGCGCGTACTATCTTAGTTATTTTATAAAATCTTATGTTAAACGATGATAAAACAGAATTTTTAATTATAGGTACTAGGCAGCAGCTGGCCAAGGTTAACATCAATTGCATTAGGGTTGGGTCGACTGATGTTTGTCCTGTAACAGTAGCTAGAAACCTTGGCTCATGGTTTGATGAGCAGCTCACTATGTCAACTCATATTAGCAAGTTATTTGGTGTTGTCTTTTCCCATTTGCATAATATCAAACGCATTCGCAAGTATTTGTCTCGAGAATCAACGGAAATGCTTGTCCATGCATTTATTACATCTCGTGTTGATTATTGTAACAGTCTATTTTGACTCCACTACACAACATCAACAGACAAAACGTAATGGCAAATAAGTTTATTTTGGGACGGCTTGGCGAGAACCAACCCTACAAAGTACTTATGTGAATACAATAATAGGTGATTACTGGTGAATACCTAATGTACAACACTCGTAAACTAGCTTTCACAAAAAGAAAAAACTCGTGCTACAAATGGTCGCTCTTGACCTGAATCACCCAGTTAAGCACGCAGGCTTAGTGCCAGTTAGGCTGCCAGTTATTCTGGGGAAACTAATTAATAAAACAATGACAACATATAGCTGGCACAGGGAACACTGTAGGAGCACAGAGGCTAAGCAAAAAGAAAAACTGCTATAACTGGTCGATCTCGACCTAAATCCCCCGAAATAAGCACGCAGGCTTAGTGCCAGTTAGGCTGGGGAAACTAATAAATAAAACTCTGACAACGCATAACTGGCACAGGGAACACGGCAGGAGCACAGAGGCTAAGCAAAAGAGAGATTTGCTACAACTGGTCGATCTCGACCTGAGTCCCCCAAAGAAGCACGCAGGCTTAGTGCCAGTTAGGCTGCCAGTTAGGCTGGGGAAATTTAATAAAACTCTGATCAACGGATAACTGGGACCGGGAACACTTCAGGAGCACAGAGGCTGAGTGCCAGGAAAACTGGGAATTATCTCCACTAATGTACCCAACAAGGCACGTAGCCCAATAACCAGTAAGGCTGCCATAAAAGGCTAGGGCAGGACATTGAAAGTAAACAAATGGATAACGACCCTGGCTAGAAGTCTGTAACATTGCCTGCAACCTAACTGCATCAAACGAGACTTATGTCGCCTCCTAAAGAGCGGTTCCGGGACAGCTGACCTAGACATACATAGAAACTAAATATATCAAGTAAAGGAGCAGGTGCAAAACTGAGATAACTGTACAAGTACATAAAATAAGAAACGGGAAAAAACTGAAAACTAGCAGAGCTGAGCTACCGCTTACAAACTGAAGTAAATGCGGTCAGACGGAGGCCAGAAAAAACCTGCCCAAAAAAACCCCGAAGGGAAAAAATGCGGGCAGGAAATCTGGGTAGGAACCAAGGCTCAAGCTCAAAGCCCTTCCTACGGGACTTTACAATGTCATCGAGAATATGTTGCTCCTAAAAATAAATAAAACAAAAATAAAGAAAAACCAAAGAGAGGGTGGTTCGTAAGCCTAGATGACGTACACGTGATATACGCAGCCTTATATACCCCCAATATGGTTACCCATGGTGCACCCGGCCTAGTACCCAGGCCCTGTTGTATCTCGTGCCGTCAAAATATTTATTTCTGTCTTCTTCGCGGGCTCATTCGTCAGAAATAACATTTTGTATGGGCTGCCCAACTACCAGCTTAACAAATTCCAGAGAGTTTTGAATGCCTCTGCCAGGCTATTTTGTAATACCCCTAGGTTTTGCCACATCTCACCCCTTCTTCGTGGTCTGCATTGGCTTCCTGTTAAAGCCCGGATAGAATTTAAGATACTGCTTATTACGTTCAAAGCAATTCACGGCCTTGCTCCTAAATATCTATGCAATTTACTAACATTTAAATCGTCCTTATATAACCTTAGATCTTCAGATAGTATTTTACTTTCTATGGCAGCTGCCCGATCGAAGACGTTAGGTGATAGAGCTTTTATGGTAGCAGCGCTAAGGCTCTGGAACTCTCTTCCAAAAGAACTTCGTTTGATTACTAATATAAACAGTTTTAAGGCGCATATTAAGACTTATCCTTTTAAAACTTTATATTGGGGAGCAATTCTATATTCACTTCTTACTTGCATGCATATATATTCTTTTTTTTTATTATTTATTTTATTTATTTATTTATTTTTAATGCATTATCTTTTATTTGTTTCTTTTAAGTAATGTAGTTGTAATGCGCAGCTGATCATTCTCATGTTAAGCTACGCCCAATAAGTTCATAAATTATTATTATTATTATTATAAAACCCAGGTTTTAGCCCCACTTACAGCGGGTTATAAGTGGTTTGTCTTCTACATACCATTTACGGTAATTAATATAACAACTGAAGTGTTTCTGAACCCACAGCTGTAAGAACATAATAAAAACAAGACTATAGCATATGGACCAAAGAGAAAAAAGCATTCCTTAAAAAAATCTCATTCCATGATTCGTCAAGCGAGAAGTGATAAATGCACGCCTTTGGAGAATTTTCGTTGCTACTTACCGTATTTATTCGATGAACCGCCCTGGGCGCGTATTATTTTTGGACCTTGAGAGTGGCCTCGTATTCGTGGTGGGCGCTTATTCGAGGCTGGGCGCTTATTAAATTTTCACCATTTTCCGCAATCGTAGTATGTTTATTTTGCAACAAAAGAATAGAAGCTAATAACAAAACGGGGAGAAGTAACAAAGCAAGGTTTCTGTAAAATACTCTGAAGAAAACTCCGTCCTCGGGGAAGTCTCTTATTAGAATTTATTCACTAAAGTGGGTGGGGTGGCGGTGAGCGCTTATTTGAGTTTGATTGGGAGGAGAAGGGGGTGGGTGCTTATTAACTTTTTCTGCCTTTAGGATGAGCGCTTATTCGAGGTGGGCGCTAAGTTAAGGTTGGGCGCTTATTCGAATAAATACGGAAATTTTCTTGAAAGTTTCTTGGAAAATAGCGCGCGTAAGAAAAAGAAAAACAAATTGCGCCATCATCACGTCATTTCCTTTTTTTCTTCTTTTAAACAGCTCCTGTCTGACAAGTTTCCCGTGAAGTCATCTGTGTTTCTGTAGTCTAATAGATCATGGGCAACGACCAATCACAGCGCGCTTAGCATCCAGTATATTCTATAAACTGTCCACCAAGCAGCACGCCGCCAGAAAACACTTAGTTATTGTAAAAAGGCCCCTGTGACTTGTCAGGAAAGAAAGGCCGTACACAGCAAATAAACAGGTTTGATGTCCACAATCCTATCCACGAGTACATGCAAGAAGTAATAGAAAACTGACCAAAAACAAAATTAAAACGTTCCGTATCTTTGTCAACCTTGAGGTTTTGACGAAAATAGTTAAAACGAGACCACAACAAAACACATCGTATAGCAGTCAGGAATTTTCTCAACGTTCTCAACATGTGTCTGTTAAGTCGTACACTTTACAATAAAACACCCCATACTAAAGTCACTTGATGGTATTACTTTATGGCCGATTTAATAAGTTCTAAAAATCCAAGACAAGAAAGCCAATTGATAATTGTACCCCTTTAAGCAAGAATAGCTAGTAAGAACACGCATAGAGAATTGCTCTAAAAATTAGAGGATTACACTTGAAGAAATCTCGAAAGGGACAGGAAGGCCCCATAATACCCCGCCAAGGGACAGAGTAGTGAAGGGCATTAGACAGCCCCTTTGAGGTAGCTTGTACACAGCCTGTACTCTGTTAGCTTTCGACCATGTTTATGATAGATTTTGCAAGTGTAAAATATGTAAATGTAAAATATGTAGCGAGGACGCGAGCGAATCGAGCGCGGAGCCCTCGCCCCTTGCGCTCGCGGTCAATAAATCTCGTGTGGCGCTCGGCGACTTCTAAAGAGAAATAGAGGGTGTGTGATCTGGCTATTTCGAGGAAGCCAAGCTAAGGGGAACCAGGGGGACTTTAAAACTCAATAAGGTGGATTAAATTCAGGTTTACACTTCATTTTTAAGTTACTAGTACTTCACCTTCACCTCAGGCTCTCCACAGAGTGCGCGTGCTGCTGTTTCGTGACCTTTTCCCGACTCCCCCAAACGGACAGCTTGCTTACAAGCAATATGAAAGGGGAGGAATTTCACTGGTTGAAATAAAATGAAAGGGCAAAGAAATCTATATCTATCGTTTCGGACCTTAAAAAGGCCATAAAGGACTTAGAGATGCATTTTATCGCTCTGAATGCAGGTTGATTTCCACTGACGCGTTTTTGGCTACGCACTTTAACGCACGTGAATATCAATCACGTAAATACTGTAGAGGCAAGGTATAAAGTGCCGAGATAAAACTTGAAGTTGAGCGACAACTTTTACGCTTACGAGCGACTGTTGATGCTTTGTCTCTATTTTATTTGCAAAGGTAAATTTTACACAAGTAAGGTTTCTCACCAGTGTGAACTCGTTTATGAATCCTTAAGTGGACTGTTTGGCTAAAACATTTGCCGCACTGTTTACATTCAAAAGGCTTTTCCCCAGTATGAACTCTCTTATGACGAGTTAAGTGTCCTGCTACACTGAAGCACTTGCCACACTCTTTACATTCGAAAGGCTTTTCCCCAGTGTGAACTCTTTCATGACTCCTTAGGTTTCCTGCTTGACTAAAACACTTGCCACACTGTTTACATTCAAAAGGCTTTTCCCCAGTGTGAAGTCTTTCATGACTCCTTAGTTTTCCTGCTGTGCTAAAGCACTTGCCACACTGTTTACATTCAAAAGGTTTCTCACCACTGTGAACTCGATTATGACTCCTTAGGTTTCCTGCTTGACTAAAACGCTTGCCACACTGTTTACATTCAAAAGGCTTTTCCCCAGTGTGAAGTCTTTCATGACTCCTTAGTTTTCCTGCTGTGCTAAAGCACTTGCCACACTGTTTACATTCAAAAGGTTTCTCACCACTGTGAACTCGATTATGACTACTTAGGTCTCCACCTGTGCTAAATCTCTTGCCACACTGTTTACATTCAAAAGGTTTTTCCCCAGTGTGAACTCTCTTGTGACGACTTAAGTGTCCTGCTAGGCTAAAGCACTTGCCACACTCTTTACATTCAAAAGGCTTTTCCCCAGTGTGAACTCTTTCATGACGCCTTAGTTCTCCTGCTGTGCTAAAGCACTTGTCACACTGTTTACATTCATAAGGTTTCTCACCACTGTGAACTCGATAATGAATCTTTAAGTGAACTGTTTGGCTAAAACATTTGCCACACTGCTTACATTCAAAAGGCTTTTCCCCAGTATGAACTCTCTTATGACGACTTAAGTGTCCTGCTACACTAAAACACTTGCCACACTGTTTACATTCAAAAGGCTTTTCCCCAGTGTGAACTCTTTCATGACTCCTTAGGTTTCCTGCTTGACTAAAACGTTTGCCACACTGTTTACATTCAAAAGGCTTTTCCCCATTGTGGACTCTTTCATGAGTCCTTAGCTGTCTTGCTTGGCTAAAACACTTACCACACTGCTGGCACTCAAAGGACATTGGGCTTGTTCCTCTTTTAATGTGTTATGGTTAGGGTACCTTTTAACAGGAAGGACAAACATTATTAGGTAAATGTAACATTCTTTGTATTTTTTTGGGCAATGCATTGAACAAACTTTGTGGCCAGCTAGTGAAAGCAAGGTCTGTAACAAATAGTTTAAAAGTTGAGAGGGATATTTGAAAAAATAAATTAGAAATAATTATTATTGTAAAGAACAACCGCTGAAGAAAAAGGTGGTTTCTGACCATGCACCATCTGACTGCACACCTAAAAACAGGAGTCAGTTAATGTAACGTTGACTTTATATTCAGATCAGAGAGTCCCCTGTGTTTTGTACAATAACACACACTTAGCAGGAGGAAGAACAGGACTAGTGTCGCAGTTCTGACTTCCTGTTTGTACCAGGAAACAACCAACCAACCAGGAGATGGAATTAATTTTTTTATAACAAATTGAAATGTACAGTTAAGTAGAGTATGTTGGGCAACTGAAGATCAAAAAAAAATCTGAACTTCCAGCAAAACAAACGATACTGAGTGACTCCACATAAAGTATAATAGTCATGATCAATAAATACAGACAGTCACTTTTTAATTTAAAAAAAGGGGGGGCTGGAGAGGGTAGCATGATAACTTACTCTACTTATGGTATTTGGGCACCTCTACAGAGGACAGAGAGTCTGGCTTGGTCATACCCTAAGGCATGGGAAGAGAGACCACCTAGAAGACCTGGAGTGGGAATGCTGGATAGAGTAGCGGATGGCAGCCCTTATGTGGTCAAATGGCAGGCCTTAGCTTGAAAACTATAAGGAAGGATCTGCCTGTGGGCTGTGGAAAGGGGCCCAGCTGTAGTTAAATTTCTGCTATTCCAGCAACAAGAAAGGAACCTGGTTAATAAGGACTCCAAAGAAAGGTACATAGGTTTCTGTATAATTAGGGGGTGTGTATTACGCAGGCTCCCATCATAATAAACAGTGAAAACCGTATTTAGTAGGACACCCTATACTAGCAGGATCATTATGACAATTACTGCACTTCACATCTGAGGCACCTCTGAAACTATTGTACACTAACTACTTATAACCATACAACAGATACATAGTACACAAACTGATTATCTCTTTATGGTAACTGCATGGATATGTCAGGGACAATTTTTTTTCACAGACTGGAGGACAGAGAGAGAGAGCAGCAACTGCCAGGCCACTTGCATTTGTGAGACCAGTAGCAGGAAATGGTGATTCCAACAACCACATTGCTTAACATCATTTACAAATGAACAATCAACATGCAATACAGATTATTTTATAGACTACTTATTGTCACTTTGGAAAAGTGAACTTATTGATCAACTCGAACAAAACCGACAACGATAAAATGACTGAAAAACCAACTAAAATTATTGACTAAGGGCCTGTTTACATCGAAGTGGGGGACCCCAGGTTGGTGAGGAAACCCATTAAGGTGGGGTAATCCACCTGTCCATATCCACATAATCGTTCATTTTAATTTGATCATGTTTACATGATAGGTGGGGTGACCCACCAAGGCGGGTATCCCAGTCTGCCAGGGTAACCCTCTCAGCTGGGGTCAAATTTTGCCATGTAAATGTTTCAAGGTGGGTTAACCCGCCTAGTTGGGGTCGGATTCATGACACGTCGAATTCACGCAAAATTCACTTTGGCAGTGAATTTGCATCATTAAGAAAGGTACCAATAAAAAGCCACAGCAATGAAAGCTGCAGCAAGAGCAGCAAGTGAGTGTAGAAGAGCATTAATCGCCAAAACACGTGGTTTGCCAGCATTATTCTTGACCATTCGATAATCTTGAGAAAGTGCACCCCAGGATGGCGGGGTTGTAAGATTGCATATAAAGGAGTGTTATTTTATTACCCCACCTACACAGGTTACTTCACCTACCTGAGGTCCCCCACCCACACGTAAACAGGCCCTAACAATACATGTACAGTTGAATACTAAAAAGACTTTATTACTGCGATCAAAGATAGAATGAAATACTCTTGTCCCATTAAGTCTTTGTACCCACTAACATCATGGCTTAACTGACAATTGACAAATATCATCTTAATTAAAATGATTAATGGAGTCAATAAACGCAATTTGATTAGGTTCAGTAATATTATTGAACATAATCAAACTCACCCAAAACTGATAAACTGACTGTTCATCACAAAAGTTTTAGCGTGGGCATATATGCATTCACTTATTTTGACTCGCATGTACGGAATCAGCAATGCAGTTTTGTAAAGCACGTAGAGTTGTTTGACAATTTAAGTCAACATGATTTTGATAGATCAAACAAAGTTTCATAGTTAAATTATATCAAAGATTACATGTTAGCTTATAGCTCTTTTAACAATGGAGATCCTTACTATCTAATTTCAGGGAAGTGAGAGTTTTGCAAAATGCTTTAACTGGTAGACTGTTTTAATCTTGCCACTCTATTTTGATCAACATTTTCTGACAGTTTTGTCATCTTGCCTATATCATCTACACTGTTTTGTCAAATATACGGGTTACAGTACAGCTCAAAAGAAAGTCACAAGCCTCTCGCGAGATGCAAATTGTGTCGCGGGCTACATGACTCTCTTCATATGCTATGTGATTCCTCAGTGGTGGATCCAGGGTAGTGGCCCAGGTGGCCTGGACCCCCTACCCTTATTTTTAGACAAAACTGAGGCCCAAAGGGCCCGAAAAAAATTTTTTGGAGACCAGGTCCCCCTCTTATCTCAAAGTCTGGATCCACTACTGTTCCTGTATTCTGCTATGCGATTCACATAGCGCACCATGGCGTAAAAACTGTAAGTATCATGGCCAAAATTCTTGAGCAATTCCAAGAATCAGTGGTAAAGCTTTGCAAGGACTAACACGCGTACAAATTTTTACCTATGCATCCTGTAGACTGTTGCGCATAATTTACTTTGTGAAGAATTGGTATTTACGTATTTGTGCAAAACATGCTTTTAAAAAAGTCACTTTAAAACCACTACACTACCTTGAAAACTACATTTTTTTACTAAAAACTTTGAGATGAAACAAAATTTAGCTTCACTTGTAACTCCCTGCAGGTTTTGTTAAACTCTTCAAGCTGAAATGAATTTTAGACTGATAAAGTAAATATTTGATAAATAACTTCCACGACAGAGTTTTCCCTAACTTCAGCAAATAAGCCTCAGAGCTCTCTAGTTTTACATTTGCAAGTTTGAAGGCAATCGTGACAGTAGAACTCGCTCCACAAAATGCTGGTCAAATTAAACCTTAAAATACTATGCTAACACATTGTTGTGAAAGTTGACGCACGAATAGAGGTGGAGTGCCGACAGACTATATCTCCTATCTGAAAGGATATTCCTACCTAAAGCTATATTGCAAGAAACGGAGTGATCAGAAACCTACGGCGAACATAGTTAGCACTAAAAGAAGAACAACTTTATGCTGAGTGCGTGGTTATATTAAAGAACTTCTATTCATCAAACTTAAGTTGTATTTGTCCCTCTCTTTTGGAAACAAATCTTAACAAAGCAAAATATAGCATCTACGAAAAACTGTCAAGAGTTTTTAGCATCGCAGGTTCCTGTTTTGAAGAGAAATAAGGCCACGAACTTCAGTAATTCTAACCATCCATTTTTCAGCTGCAAAGAAAACCCTTGTATTTGGTAATTTATTCAAGCTCTTTGAACTCGCCATCACATTCGCACAGGAAGTTTTCCACTTGGGAATAAAGATGAAGACAAATATGACAATCATCTTATTCTTCTCATTATCCCCAACAGTTAATTGCCCGTGCGAATGTGATGTGAGGCACTCAGCTTAAAATTGTTCTTCTTAAAGTGTTAACTGTATTCGCCGTAATTAAGTTTCTGATGGCTCTGTTTCTTGCGATAAAGCTTTAGGTAGGAATATCCTTTCAGATAGGAGATAGTCTGTAGGCAGTCTTCCTCTGTTTTTAAGGTTAAATTTGACCAGCATTTTGTGCAGTGAGTTCTATGGTCACGATTGCCTTCAAAGTTGTAGACGTAAAACTAGAGAGCTCTAAGGCTTATTTGCTGAAGTAAGGGAAAAATCTGTCATGGGATTTCGAAGTTATAAACATTTTTTGTAAAAATGCGGTTTTAAATATATGCCGATATCTCAAAGGTTCTTATACCTACAAGAAAATAAATAACAGTTTCTTAAGGTTCCATTATTGTTTATTAAGGATGCCAAAAATCATAGAAATCCGTTGAATCTTTCATTCTGAAAAACGCAAATCACCACCTTAAACAGTCGGCCACCTTAAACAGTGTTGACAAGTTAAAGGATAGCTTCTCGAAAGAAACTTAACCAAAAATCTAACACCCATTTACCTCAGTCTTTCAGGTAACACTACAAGAAAATTTTGGTTTGTTTCTCGCCGAATGTGTCATCAACAATTTATGCCAAAAATTGCCGTATCAGTAATTCTCGCGCTACGCGATTTTCGTCACGCAGGAAAAGAGACGCATCTGGTAACTTACTTTTGGGTGGTACTGTAAATTTGTTGTCTTTCTGATCGCCTTCCACTTTTTTAGTCAGCGTTCCACTTACATTGCCGTACTTTCCTCAACCATAATTATACATACATATCCATTTCATATTTTGATGGCATGTCGATCAAAATGTATCTTACCCCACAGGCGGCCCAGTCGTAGTATGTGTCACTGAATGAATATATTAATATCCACATGGACAAATTAATGCGATGAGTCGTCGAAAATCCCATGGACTAAAATAGTCTTAAAGTCAAAATATAACAAAACAAAGCTAAGATACCTTCAACTGAACGTATCCTTGTCTTTCCTGGCCGGTTTAAGTGGCATTTTGTTGGGTTTTGAAATTGTAGGTACTATCCACTGAAGAAGAATTAAAGGCTGGCTACAAAACAAACAGACCATCTCCACGCGCCTTCACACGAAGCGCTATAAATTCCAGAATAATCGACGAATCTGCTTCAAATAACCATCGGCTAATCTGCAGGTAACGTGTGCTCCTGCTTCTGGCTCGCTTGCTCCACAAAACCCATCGCAACTGCACAATAATTGCTCGCTCATCAACAACCACTGTTGACCTTTACGCTTCGATATGACCGCAAACGACCAGGTTTAATACGCGACGTGAATATTCAAGCTTAGCGACCGCGTTCGCGCAACAATGCAGCACTTGCTATGGGAGGGATGGTACTATTGCTTCCAGGTCAATCGACTGACCGAAGGTTCGCTGCGTTAGTTTTGACCAGAAAACAAAAGGCGATCGCGGGACCGTCCGTAAGTTTTCAACAGGGCAGCCCTGGTTTTCATGTTCGAATTCTTCTAACGTTCGCTGTCTCAGCTGCTGTCACATTGTTCGTCCAGCCGCTTGCATAGGTTCTTGACTCTACCAGACTTATTTGCTTAGATTAACAACGTCTTACTCCATAATATGTTGTCCAAACTGGTGAAGGAGGACGAGAATTTTCCGCCCAGGAAAAAGGCAAAATCTGGCCCCCGCTATGCAGCTGAATAGAAGATACAGCTGAAGATATCGTAAGGTAAAATTTATGTGCGCGATATCTTTTTTTATTATTATTATTATTCTCAAAACTCAGGGGCACCCAACGATGATTTCCCCCTAAATGCATCGAAAACACATTTAAGGCTGTCCAGGGTACTTTTGATCGAAAAATGTATTCTAAACAGCGCTTACATAAATTTAGTCAGGAGGGCTAAAAGCGAAGCTAATGATTTATAGTTTGCTCATACTAAATATAAAATATATCGTGTAATGCTAAGCGGAGAAGGCAACGAGACAGGGCCACCCAACGACTGTTTCCTCAAATACTTTCAATTGAAAACACTTCTGTAGCTATTCATAAAGTACTTTTAGCTCTATAGAAATGCATTCTAAGTGGCGCTATAAAATTTGCATCTCAGTGTTCGGCCATTCTAGAGGAACTTGAGTCTTTTCGAAATTACGAGGAATTCAGAATTATTTTCCCGAAAATTTTAGATGCAATTTAACGTATTACGAAGGAGATAATTTTTCAGATACCTTCTTTCATCACATTTTTGAATCCGAAAATTTTAGGATTCCATTTTACTCTCTAAGAAAAATAGCCTAACCCGGTGAGTGAAATGTGAAAAATTAAAAGTTGGATGCCCTTGACCAGAACTGTGAAAAACAACAATAGGTCTAATTGCAGCACACTTTCTTGTACATTTCCTTGCCGTTGATTTGCATGACTGCAACGTGAAACGTCCAGAAAACTTCCTGGTTTTCACTTTTTATGGAGAAAATGTGGTACATGTTCTTATTCACTTTTTCCACTGCCGCTCATTTTTTTTAGCTCCGCTATAAGATTCGTATCTGTTCGGTGCTCCTTGGGCAAATTGGATCTTTTTAAAAAATGACAAGGGCATCAATATTATTTTCCCGATTGATTGACCTGGAAGCAATAGTACCATCCCTCCCATAGCAAGTGCTGCATTGTTGCGCGAACGCGGTCGCTAAGCTTGAATATTCACGTCGCGTATTAAACCTGGTCGTATGCGGTCATATCGAAGCGTAAAGGTCAACAGTGGTTGTTGATGAGCGAGCAATTATTGTGCAGTTGTGATGGGTTTTGTGGAGCAAGCGAGCCAGAAGCAGGAGCACACGTTACCTGCAGATTAGCCGATGGTTATTTGGAGCGGATTCGTCGATTATTCTCGAATTTATAGCGCTTCGTGTGAAGGCGCGTGGAGATGGTCTGTTTGTTTTGTAGCCAGCCTTTTAATTCTTCGTTAGTGGATAGTACCTACAATTTCAAAACTCAACAAAATGCCACTTAAACCGGCCAGGAAAGACAAGGATACGTTCAGTTGAGGGTATCTTAGCTTTGTTTTGTTATATTTTGACTTCTAGACTATTTTAGTCCATGGGATTTTCGACGACTCATCGCGTTAATTTGTCCATGTGGATATTAATATATTCATTCAGTGACACATACTACGTCTGGGCCGCCTGTGCTTACCCTACCAATTAACGTAACATGCTTGAAAGCATAAAATATAAAACCATCTTACTAATTTGAACTCTTTTATACCTGGAAAATTTGCTCAAAGAAAGCCCGAGGTCACGCAGTTTATAAATGTGCGTCTATTCTTTGGTCTAGTTCATTTCAAGTCATCAGTGTGTTCGTGATCAGTACCGAATCAGCACATCACTATCACAATTAACGTACCCATAATGTATGTAAGATTGCCTTACCTTTAGTAACAAGACCTTGCCGTTTTAATCAAATAACACGAGGGAAAATTAGATGATACCAAGAGCTGAAGGATTCAAAAATGAAATGATCGTGATTTCACCTTGTGAGAGAAATCTGGGGATAGTTCAAAAACCCGTGGGGACTGGGGACGCAAGCTCGGTTTGCAGTTTTTCTTTGGGGACAAAGGCATGCCTTATATTATCACTCCGACTGCAATATTTATTTATTCAATGAGATCAAAGCTACAGTTCTTCCAATTTGGTTTGCAGATTTTATATCAGGAATAAACTGAACCACTAAATACTTTGAGCTACAGTGTATTTAGCCTCCTCCGCAGACGTTCTTAGGGGTTCGTCACGCGTTCCTGTCCCACTAACTTGCGCTGATTGGCTCTGCGATAATTCTCCAACTGATATTTGAGAACAATGGGAAAGGAATATGTCTTTCGGTTCAGCAGATGTTAGTGTAACCTGCGATAAATAGTCTAAACTATTGCTAACTACCATTTATATAAGAAAATGTTTGGAAGGAGACTCACTTGGAAAAATCCACGTTCTTAGTGGTGGTGTTTTACTGTATTAACTGCCGCAAACAAATCTAGCTTACATAGACTTGGATTCTCAAAAATGAAGCACACGAAGTAAAATCTAGCGTTAAGTAAGAAAAGCTAGATCTGAATGGTGATTCGAGGAGCTTGGCTGGACTTCCGGATAATCCAACTCTGTAGATGGATTATTTTTCATAAATGCTTGCTAGTTTTTCTATAGTTTTTTTTTGTCTGCAAAGATTTTTTTAAACTCATTTAAGTGACTTATTTTACATCAATATCTTTTCCAATGTCCAAATTTGATCCCAATTTTTTTTCGCGACTAAATGGTAAATAGACCTATAAGCCCCTCAGTATATTGGTTAAATAACAAGGGGTTTTTTTAATAAGAAAAAGTGGACAATCAAAGATAACTTCAATAACTGGTAAAAGTCGTTTTACCATAATCATCGTCGTTTCCAAAGGTCAACCGTAGATTGATGAAAGAAAAAAGTGGCGAAGGTTGTGATAACATGGTGAACTTAAGCTTCTGTCTGATCCAGCACCAGAACAGTCCAATTTGACTCGTCCAATAAGAAGTTATTGGAATTCTATCCTGCGGATCAAGCCTTCTTGCCGAGTTCGCCGAGAAAGTTGTCAAAGTTGGTATAACTTCCCTCCCCATTCCATTTTTTTTTTCTCCCCCTCCAACTTTTGCGCAATAACTCGATTGGAAACGCTTACTACGCAGTCTATTGGATTTCAAAAAGGTCAAATCCCGAGGGGAGGTATATACTGAAGAAAATCTTTTCACCGGGAGGCTCCGCCCTGCAGAAAAGGTACCCATTTCGATTACTTTCTTTTGACAATTGGTACCCCTTTTACACACCTTGTAGTTTAGCACTCTGCACCCCACTAAACTGTAATAAATACACTGTTTTTTTAATATCAATAAACCCGCACGAAATCGACGTGAGTTGATTTCCACTGCCGCCTAATTTTTACTTGCGTACTTGCGTAAAATTTACGTTCGCAAATAAAATAGAGGCAATGCATGAACAGTCGCTCGTAAGCGTAAAAGTTGAACATCGCTCAACTTCACGTTTAATCTCAGCACTTTATATCTTGCCTCTACATTATTTACGTGATTGATATTCACGTGCGTTAAAGTGCGCAGCCAAAAACGCGTCAGTGAAAATCAACCTGTATTCAGAGCGATAAAATGCATCTCTAAGTCCTTTAAGGCCTTTTTAAGGTCCGAAACGATAGATATAGATTTCTTTGCCCTTTCATTTTATTTCAACCAGTGAAATTCCTCCCCTTTCATATTGCTTGTAAGCAAGCTGTCCGTTCGGGGGAGTCGGGAAAAAGGTCACGAAACAGCAGCACGCGCACTCTGTGGAGAGCCTGAGGTGAAGGTGATGGCGCAATTTGTTTTTCTTTTTCTTACGCGCGCTATTTTCCAAGAAACTTTCAAAAAAATTTCCGTATTTATTCGAATAAGCGCCCAACCTTAAATTAGCGCCCACCTCGAATAAGCGCTCATCCTAAAGGCAGAAAAAGTTAATAAGCGCCCACCCTCTTCTCCTCCCATTCAAACTCAAATAAGCGCTCACCGCCACCCCACCCACTTGAGTGAATAAATTCTAATAAGAGACTTCCCCGAGGACGGAGTTTTCTTCAAAGTATTTTACAGAAACCTTGCTTTGTCACTTCTCCGCGTTTTGTTATTAGCATTTTTTGTTTTGTTGCAAAATAAACATACTACACTTGCTGAAAATGGTGAAAATTTAATAAGCGCCCACCTCGAATACGCGCCCACTCGCAAGGTCCAAAAATAATACGCGCCGAGGGCGGTTAATCGAATAAATACGGTAAGTATCGACGAAAGTTCTCCAACGACATGCATTATTAAATCACTTCTCGCTTTACGAATCATGGAATGAGATTTTTTAAGGAATGCTTATTTCCTCTTTGGTCCATATGCTATAGTTTTGTTTTTATTATGTTCTTACAGCTGTGGGTTCAGAAATACTTCAGTTGTTATATTAATTACCGTACATGGTATGTAGAAGACAAACCACTTATAACCCGCTGTAAGTGAGGCTAAAACCTGGGTTTTAGTTTGTTTAAGACACGTAAACTGTTCTTTTATCGTTCATACTTGTAGTTCCTGATAATTGTATGCATGAAATGAATCGCAGGTTTGAAAGTAACAAACTTTAAACCAAAAAAAAACGTTTCAAGTTGAAACTAGAAACATTTTGCCTAAGAACCGAAAAGAACTTACGAGAACTGAAACGCATTTTAACTTTAAGAGTCGTCTTCACAAACATAGGTCATATGATGTTCATAGTGTTGAAGAAGAAGAGCCTCACTACTCATCTCCTCTTGACAAATCCAACAGCTGTGTTTCTCATTAATGACTGATTGCGGGTCTGCTACGCCACTGTTTCCAGTCTCTCTGTGTGTTGCCAAGTTGTTTGTAAAGTCTGTGGCACTAAGATCAACGTTTTTACCCCCAGCTCTCTTCAGCTTACATGATTCCAAACGTTTAGACAGAATCTCGTTTTTCTGGGAAAATTTACGCGACTTTAATAGAGTGTGTATTCTTTCATGCTTCCTCAGGCTACTTGCTTCGTTAAAAGACTTCCCACAGTGTTTACATTCGTAAGGTTTCTCACCAGTGTGAACTCGTTTATGTGTCCTCAGGTTCCATGATTGGCTAAAACGCTTACCACACTGTTTACATTCATAAGGTTTCTCACCAGTGTGAACTCGTTTATGAATCCTTAGGTGAACTGTTTGGCTAAAACATTTGCCACACTGTTTACATTCAAATGGCTTTTCCCCCGTGTGAACTCTCTTATGATTCCTTAGCGTGTTTGCTTGGTGAAAAAACTTGCCACACTGTTTACATTCATAAGGCTTTTCCCCAGTGTGAACTCTGTCATGCATCCGAAGGTTTTTTGCTTGACTAAAGCACTTCCCACACTGTTTACATTCAAAAGGCTTTTCCCCAGTGTGAACTCTTTCATGACTCCTTAGGTCTCTTGCTGTGCTAAAGCACTTGCCACACCGTTTACATTCATGAGGTTTCTCACCAGTGTGAACTCGTTTATGAATCCTTAAGTGGGCTGTTTGGCTAAAACATTTGCCGCACTGGTTACATTCAAAAGGCTTTTCCCCAGTATGAACTCTCTTATGACGAGTTAAGTGTTGTGCTACACTGAAGCACTTGCCACACTGTTTACATTCAAAAGGCTTTTCCCCAGTGTGAACTCTTTCATGACTCCTTAGGTTTCCTGCTTGACTAAAACACTTGCCACACTGTTTACATTCAAAAGGCTTTTCCCCAGTGTGAACCCTTTCATGATTCTTTAGTTCTCCTGCTCGGCTAAAGCGCTTCCCACACTGTTTACATTCAAAAGGTTTTTCCCCAGTGTGAACCCTCTTATGACGACGTAAGTGTCCTGCTTGACTAAAGCACTTCCCACACTGATTACATTCATAAGGCTTTTCCCCAGTGTGGACTCTTTCATGAGTCCTTAGCTGTCTTGCTTGGCTAAAATACTTGCCACACTGCTGGCACTCAAAGGACATTGGGCTTGTTCCTCTTTTAATGTGTTATGGTTAGAGTACCTTTTAACAGGAAGGACAAACATTATTAGGTAAATGTAACATTCTTTGTATTTTTTTGGGCAAGGCATTGAACAAACTTTGTGGCCAGCTAATGAAAACAAGGTCTGTAACAAATAGTTTAAAAGTTGAGAGGGATATTTGGAAAATAAATTAGAAATAATTATTATTGTAAAGAACAACCGCTCAAGAAAAAGGTGGTTTCTGACCATGCACCATCTGACTGCACACCTAAAAACAGGAGTCAGTTAATCTAACGTTGACTTTGTATTCAGATCAGAGAGTCCCCTGTGTTTTGTAAAATAACACACACTTACAATAATTATTGGTGATAAAGGCTCATCATAGAGCATTAAAACAGACAATACAGTATAGTGGAACCCATATTACAATCAATCAGCACTCTATTAAGCTCCTTGGGTTATTTATTTAAAGCAAACTTGAGGATGGTTGAGTGGGCGGGACATACCGAGAGGGGGGGGGGGTTATTTAATGTAGCGAAACCCATCACCAATAGCAGGAAGGAAGAATACGACTAGTGTCACAGTTCTGACTTCCTGTTTGTACCAGAAAACAACCAACCAACCAGGAGATGGAATTAATTTTTTTATAACAAATTGAAATGTACAGTTAAGTAGAGTATGTTGGGCAACTGAAGATCAAAAACAAATGTGAACTTCCAGCAAAATAAACCATACTGAGTGACTCCACATAAAGTATAATAGTCATGATCAATAAATACAGTCAATCACTTTTTAATTTAAAAAGGGGGGGGAGAGGGTAGCATGATAACTTCCTCTATGGTATTTTGGCACCTCTACAGAGGACAGAGAGCCTGGCTTAGTCATACCCTAAGGCATAGGAAGAGAGACCACCTAGAAGACATGGAGTGGGAATGCTGGATATTGCAACAGATGGTAGCCCTTATGTGGTCAAACAGCAGGCCTTAGATTGAGAACTATAAAAAGGATCTGCCTGTGGGCAGAAAACACACACACACACACACACACACATACAAGGTAGACCTCTCTCACAAAAGTGAAGGGGCCCAGCTGTAGTTAAATTTCTGCTATTCCAGCAACAAGAAAGGAACCTGGTTAATAAGGACTCCAAAGAAACATACATAGGTTTCTCTATAATCAGGGGGTGTGTATTACGCAGGCTCCCATCAAAATAAACAGTGAAACCCATATTTAGCAGAACACCCTATACTAGCAGGATCATTATTACAATTACTGCACTTCAAATCGGAAGCACCCCTGAAACTATTGTACACCAACTACTATAACCATACAACATATGCATTGTACACAAACTGATTATCTCTTTATGGTAACTGCATGCATATGTCCGGGACAAACACAGACTGGAGGACAGAGAGAGAGCAGCAACTGTCAGGCCACTTGCATTGGTGATTTCAACAACCACATTGCTTAACATCATTTACAGATGAACACTCAAATTGACTTGGACTGTTCAACATGCAATACAGATTATTTTATAGACTACTTACTGTCACTTTGGAAAAGTGAACTTATCGATCAACTCGAACAAAACCGACAATGATAAAATGACTGAAAAACCAACTAAAATTTTTGCCTAAGGGCCTGTTTACATGGAAGTGGGGGACCCCAGGTTGGTGAGGAAACCCATTAAGGTGGGGTAATCCACCTGTCCATACAATCTCTTGTTTTAATTTGATCATGTTTACATGATAGGTGGGGTGACCCACCAAGGCTGGTATCCCAGTCTGCCAGGGTAACCTTCTCAGCTGGGGTCAAATTTTGCCATACAAATGTTTCAAGGTGGGTTAACCCGCCTAGTTGGGGTCGGATTCATGACACATCGAATTCAAGCAAAATTCACTTTGGCAGTGAATTTGCATCATTAAGAAAAGTACCAATAAAAAGCCACAGCAATGAAGGCTGCAGCAAGAGCAGCAAGTGAGTGTAGAAGAGCATTATTCGCCAAAACACGTGGTTTGCCAGCATTATTCTTGACCTTTCAATAATCTTGAGAAAGCGCACCCCAGAATGGCGGGGTTGTAAGATTGCATATAAAGGAGAGTTATTTTGTTATCCTACCTATGCAGGTTACCTCACCTACCTGAGGTCCCCCACCCCCATGTAAACAGGCCCTAACAATACATGTACAGTTGTATACTAAAAAGACTTTATAACTGCGATCAAAGATAGAATGAAATACTCCTGTCCCATTAAGTCTTTGTACCCACTAACATCATGGCTTAACTGACAATTGACAAATATCATCTT